ACTTTCATTCACTGAGAATTCTGTTCCTAAGGGGCTTTTCCATTTTTAGTGTTAGAAAGCTTAAAGAAATGTCTGTGTGGGTCAGGAGTAACGGTGATGTTCAGACCCGCCACATCACCCTTTTATTACTTGAGCTAATGACGTGACTAGTAGAAGACTGGTACCTGGAGAAGCATACGCAACACACTTGCTGTGGGGCTTTTTCTTCTTCTGGTAACAAAAAAAAGGAGCTTATGGGATAATGGATTTGATTCCTGCTATGATACGGAAATCGTGCTTATCAGTTATAGATCTTTCTGGGTTTTTAGTAAATGTTAGAAATGTTAGAAAAGCAAAAGACTCTCCCAGTTATGTGGTAACCTCCCCATGCTGGGGAGATCTTCATGCTCTTGGCCCATAGTGGGGAGGCACTGCATCTTCTCATTTAAATGAATGTCCACTTCCATAAGACATAAGCAAACTACACACCACAACTTCACAATGTAATTCTTAGAGAAAGACTTGCTCATTAGCAACTTCCAAAATAATTGAGTTACTTAACTGTAACTTTTATTTTTTTGACACCATATTGTTTCTCACTCAGCAAGGCAGCGCTACCTGACACTTACAGATGAAAACTGGTGGCCAGTCATGTAATCCCGTCAAAGAATGAAGAGAGGACTTTTTTTTAGGTCTTCATGATGCTTTATGGAAGGTAGTGCGGGATTAATTCCAGGGCTCAAACCTGCACAATTTTAAATGACTTACGCTCTTGCTGCTTCACAGGGAGAGATTGTCCCACAGCCTCAAAGACCTCTTGCTGTGTGGAAAATGCCTTTTCCTTCCCTTCTGTCTCAAATTTTCCATTAACGAATTTTTATCCCAACTTGTACACCCACTCAGCTAGTCTGAACTCTTCTTCTGTGTTTTTATGACCTTCCAGTGCTAGTAGACATTTACTACATCCTTCTTGTCTAGTGGCCAGATTATGTGTATTGAGTGTGTCTGCATAAATGTACCCCTTCAGTGCCTTAATCTCTTTTGATGGAATTTCTTCTTTGAATTCTTTCCCATCCTTCACTGCTCTTTACTGTCCTTGGACTCAGCTTGGAAGTTCATTTCTTGCGAGCATTCTGGATGCCTCAGGCAATACAGGAAAATATAGTAGGATGATACGGGGGGGGTGGGGAGGCAAAAGTGAGCAAGCCTCAAGTGTCTGGGATAGTGCTCAATGCAAAAGAAGCATGGATGCAAATGTTGCATATTGGCATTAGTAGTAAGAACAGTACTTCACCTCCAGTGCCATGCTAGTCATCATTTTAGAAATTGATGCCTTTTCTTGCTAGGGAAATAAAATAGCTCTGGGCTGACAGATGAGAAATATCTGAAAGTAATTTTTTTCAGAAATGTTTAGTATTTCCTTATATAATGGATGCAGTCAATGGCTGTACGGACAAGTTACGGTATAACATAAGCAAAGGAATTAGCATTTTGTCTTTGTAAATATAATGCATTGCTTTATTAAAAGAGTATCTTGATTTCATTCCTTATGATTGCAGGACACTGCTTCCAGCACTTAGCAGATCTGCGTATAACATTTAATTTTTATATGTCTTTCTTAAGGGGAAATATCTACCTTTTATTATTTAGCCCAAAAGTCATGGATACTGTTTTCATATCAACTTTCTCCTGGCACAGCCTACTGTGGATATATATACTAGGGCCTGCTCTTTTCAAGGTCTTGCTCCAGACCGCAGAGGTACTGTTTCGCATCGTTTCAGTCTGACTTTCCCAGACTGTGTTACTGACATTGCCTTCTGGCCTTCCAGATGAAGGCCACTGATTATTTACAGCTCCATAAATACCTAATTGTGGAGTGCGTTACTTGAGGAATGACGGTAAAAAACGTGACTTTTTCCATTTGAATTTGCTGAAAGCAGTACTGAAGCATGCAGCAGACCAGACCCGTGCTGCACAGGGGATGCCATGCATGCAGTTAGCCATACCAGCGCCTTGCAGAATTGAGTGCGGGACCAGACTGCATCCCCTCTGCGGCAACCGCTGCTTAAAGCAAGAGAGTGCCCGAGCAAGAGCCAGTGCCACCGTAAGTGATGCCTGACAAGAAACACAGACATGGAAACTTGAATTCTATTGTCAAGCTACAACATGGACACCTGCAAACGAAGGTGCCAAGAAAACTAACATTCAGGAGCTGGAGGCTATTTGTAAGAGTCAAAATTAACTCATATTTTAGAAATGTTTAGGAAAATGCTGATTTGAAAGTAACCTAAATGCACTTTAAACGAAACGCAGAGTAAATCCTTGAAGTGCCTGAGGAACCTGTTGTGCATTAGTGTGCTTAAAAACGCAAAAAAACCCATCATTACAGAGAAAAATAAATTAACTCTGCTTGTTCCAAAGCCCAAAACTGTGAACAAGCCTGGGGTTTTGGGTTGCCTTTTTTTTTAAAATTGTGCAGTTGCTTTATTTTTAGTATTGATTTGAAAAAAAGATCCTGTAAGAGCCAAACCAATGACACTCCCTTATCAGAAAGGTTCTTTAAAAGACTCTTTGGTGTCTAAGAACTAGTACCATGACAGCAAGAGGTTTGCTTTTGCCAGACTGCGAAGCAGCATCCCTCACTGCTCCCTGGGGAACATAGTGGGAAGTGATAGTGATCAGGACTTAGAGGATGCTCAGGCAGAGAAAGAATGTGAAGATGTTGGTAACTGAAAAGCAGCAGGCCTCCTTCCAGCTACTCTGTCATACAAGCCTCACAAATCAAAATCCTCTTTCAGATGCCCAAATTATGTTTCTGTTGGCTAAGAGTTTAAAAACTTTTTAAAGTTGCTTGAATTAACAGCTGTCTTTGGCTTCGTTTTTCACCTTAGTCAGTTGTTTGTATATCCTCCTGGCCTCCTCTTTGGCTTCACTTCACTGCTGCGTGTGCTTTAACTTCCTCCAATTACAAAAAAAATTGCATTTTTTAAAGCGAACCCACAACTCATCATGCCCTCATTCTCCCCACAGAAAATAGGAAAGCAAGGAACTATTTTTCAGCATTGCATACAATTGCCTGTCAGGTAGGAGTTTGCTTTGCTCCCTGTTACATTCAAGAGTACCCTTCCACAAGACAGGAGCAAACCAGAGATTTCTTCTTACTTTTAAATGTACAAAGCTATTGACTGGGGAGTATTTCTGTCCAGCTGTCTGCCATCATGAAGGCTTGTCTTCCAAAAATTTTGAAATTGCTTTGGTACCTGCCTTTAATAACACTAAAAATGTTGGTCTGGGAGAGGGGAGGGTGGCTACGCAGTTGGCAGTAGTATGTGAAGAACTGGTGACAAGAAAAATGTCTCCTCTTCTAGGCACGAGCGCAGAAGGAAGAATGCAGAATCAAATAAAAACCATTATGCTTCTCCCATTTTAAACATTTAATAGTGCACTTATTGAGTATATTCTGTACAGACATCTATAGCAAGTTAAACATTTTCCTTTCTCTCACGTAGATCATAGTCATGTAAAGCACATTTACAATAGAAAACATACTTGAGGTACAAAAACCCAAAAAGAATATCTGAGGTATAAATACAGGTATATTTTAAATAATCTTTATCATGCTTTATCTATGTTTGACAGTACACTGTGGGCAAGTATACATGTTTACAATAGAATGGTATGTACAACATACAATTTTACAAATTCAAAAGTGTTTGATGTAGAAGAATATACAAGGTTTTCCTACTCATGAGGAACATTGTTACTGGAAGTACTACATTATTTGCCATAATAAAAAAATCTTCATCAAAAAGCTTAAAATAATACTGACAATGGTAACAAAGTCTCAGTCAAAATTCCATCTTGCAACTCATTCATACCCTAGCCGCAAAATACATTTATCACTTAATACTGCACCTTGAAAGCAAACCTTTACCTTTACAGTAAAACCTACAGAGAGACACCTTTCCAGAGGACCTCAAGACTTCCTACAGTTCATACAAGTTGGTTCTCAAGGAGGGGGGGATATCCCAAAGGGTCTAAAACCCAACAAAACCCAAGGAAGGCAAAACCCCACCCTCCTCTCTGCCCCCAAATATAACCCTCCAAATTGCTCACATCCAGGTTCTGTTCTTGTTAACGTGCAGCTTTTAGGAAAACAGGCAAAGGATGGAGAGAAAAGGAGAGAGCTCATGCAACTCTTCCTAGCCACCTCACCGCACCTGCTGCTGCAGGAGTCCTGCCACCTCCCGGCACCACAACTCCAGTGATTTTTTTCCTCTTGAGCCATCAGAATACGTAAAATATATAAAAGCTCATTAAAACACTTATAGTTAACGCAGGTAGGAGTAAAAGCAACAAACATTTTTTGGCAAATTAACAATTGACGTTACTGGCTCTCTTCACCATTGCACAGACATTTCGTTTCTAAGCTGCTACGTTGCTCAAAAGCGTATTTACTGAAAATTGCTATAGAACTGCTAATCACTCCTGAAAGATCATCTGGGTAAGGAGTGGAGAGTAATCGGAGCAAGCCTCTAGTAACATCAGCTTAGGGTTTTTAACAAGATTAGAGCTGAGGAAAATGCAGAACTGGCACATGGGAAAGATAGCTACTCCTGGTCCACGGGGGAGTCCCATTCTAGGCTGAACTGTATCCAGCGTACTAAAATCCATTCTGGTTGCCTATCAATCAGTGTACCAGACACATTTCAAATTCAACTTCTGCTATCCTTTCAACCATTAACACACTCATTCACACTTTAATCTCTGTGCAAACCTTTCTCTGCTTATCTCAGTGAGAACACATTGAAGAGTACCAACTATTCCAGTGGATACACCAGTCCCTCAACGCACTACAAATAAAATGACATGGTTATGTACATAAAGCTAAGTAAGTACTTCACATGGGAATGATGAGCCTTCACCATATTTCTTAATATATTTTGCATTTAAAGAATTTTGCTTCTCAGAAGCAATTCAAACCATCTAATAGTACAATACTTTTTTTTTTTTTTTTTCCTTTTGAACAGTCCTCCTATGTATTCCAGTCGAGGCCTACACTATAGACCTTGCACAGACAGGAAGCAGCTTTAAAGTGTATGGTATGGCCACAGTCCTATAGTAATGCTCACAGTCAAGTTCTCATGTTGTCATCCAGTCGTGACATGACTTGCAGATGGTACACTAGTCTGGTCTGCACCGGATGAGCCTTAGTTTTGGGTAATGTCTACGTTGCTGAGGTGTGGAGCGCATGGCTCTTCCTCTTCAGTAGTCACCTGGATTTTACTTCCTTGCTCTCAGGACTCTGATGACTGAAAGAGTCTCGTATCTTAACGACTTCAGATGCACACAAGTGTCCAAAAGACTTGGTGTACCAGTCTGGCATGTGGCCCCTGATGTGTGGAGAAAAAGTAATGATGAAGCAGGTACAAGTAACTCAGCATGCATATTTCTTAGTCAGAATCAAATACAAATCTAGCTGGTTAATTGCTGGACTAGGAAATCTCCTTATTACTACTTATTGCTCAGCTCAGCCTTACTAATAACATAGACTTGCTCAAAAACAAGTTTGCGGCAGTGAGGAAAAGTTATGAGAAGTTTTGTGACAACTTGGTCCTCTTTATTAACTTTAATATTAAAATTATCATGTCATTGCATCCAAACACACCTGGCAGAGGAAGGAGTGGGATTATATACCAATAGCTATGGTGGAGCACATACTGGCGTCTTCCACTGCAACAGACCACACCTGCTGTTAAATGTGCACTGAAGCCAATTTTCTGGGACATCTCAGAGATCTGTGTGCATATCTTTGAGAAGTATTTACTACTGGCCAAGCTAAAGCCTGTTGAACCACCTAAATTTTGCGCTGACTACATGGAAACTAATAGAAAAGTTACCACCACAAAAGGACAAAGTGGAAATTCATACCTTAAATCAATTCTGCACATGTAGGTAAGTTTAGATTTTCCTGACCCGCAGGGCTCAATCAGATACCTAGACAGGAGCACGTTGACTCTAACACCGGCCACTGGAGCACGGTCATGGTCCACTGAGGTTGCTAGAAGCACACAAGCTCCTTTGGGGAAGTTTGTCCTCCATGTTCTAAGAAAAAAGAAGGAAAAACAGTCTTATCTTTGACAAACAGTAATTCAAAGATCTAATAAGACTTCAAATTATGCACAAATAGATATTTACCTATATAACTTACGTTACACAGAACTTGTAGGCAAGATTGCCATATGTGTAGGATAAAATATCATCGCATATAAAGGTCTTACCTTAAGACTACAAAGTCCCTGGCTGGGTGAGGTGCCATGCTGTTCTGGACATACTGGTATATATCTGTTTGGCTATCCAAAGGTTCGATTACTTTCGAATCTATAAGATCTTCATCCCAAAGATGCTGCTCTTTAAGTAAACGATTTAAAACGTCCTCTGGCGTAGCTGGGATTTCAATGGTAGTTTTCCATAACCTCAGTGGGGGACCTTCGCATACCTGGGGAAAATCAGCACAGTCCTCAGTTTTACTCTTCCTTACACTTTTCCTTTCTATTTTAGAGTTGGCTAAATTCAGTGAATTAAATACACACAGACAGACAGACGCACACACACGTGTATATATTGTACTAAGCTTATTGTAAGCTCAGACTAAAGTTATTTTTCTAACAGCCGAAGGCATCTGCACACTGACTTCCACATTACTTCTCCAGTATGGGCGACTATTAAATCATGACGCTACAGAAAAATATACCAATTTTCCAAGTTTATTTTTTAAATACCTTACATCTCATTGACACACTTCTCTCTGTGCTAGCTCTGAGCTGTGCAAGATTAGAGCCAAGAAACTTCTTTCTTACTGCCTGCATAGTGACAGTGCTTGGAGGCTTCACTCAGCCTGTTAAGGCTTTGCACATGTGAGTAAAGGCGTGTAAATGCAATACAGTGAACATTCCTAGGCTGGATAAACAGAAGAACACAAATCAGTGCACGTTAGCTGCCTACTGCTGAAAGACATGTTGTTTTTAGACGGTGTGCAACTATGTCAAAAAATGAAGGGTGGTGGTTTTTTTTCTTAAATCTATCTGCAAAGTAAAGGTGCACATTGAACCTTCTATAATATCCTATGTCAAAAGCCTGCTTATATTAGAGAAGATGAGCTAAAAACCAGAGCTGTGGCATGAGTGACAGGGTGCATACCTTCTTGTAGGCCAGCTCTGCTTGCTCTGAGGTGGAGCAGCTGACCCAGCCTTTAAACTTCTCCTTCATCTCTTTAAGCAAGTCGTCCACGCAGTCCTGCAGGTAGCAGTGGTAGTCGGAGGGCTCAGCAGTGCTGCTGCTGCCCCGGAGCTCCTCCAGGCTGAGGGGACGCAGGTCCTGCTCTGTGTACGAGTTCCGGCCCCTGCTCATTTCTTCAGGTATCTAAGGGGTGACAAGGGTGAAATCATCCTCTTGCAGCTCTCTCCCCAAATCACAGAGTTAGGCTAGCAGCTTGATAGCCACAGAAAGATGGGTACACTCGTATTGTAAGTGGTGGGACGCATATGTGTCAGGTCAAGCACTCAATGTGAAGAAATGCCAAAATTGAGTTTGTGACTTTGATTTAACTCAAATTAGTCTCTCATTTATGAGGTGTCTTATTTTTTTCTGTGGAGTATCCCTCTTTGCTACACAACTTAGATCCATTCCCACAGCACAGTTTATCCTGCAGACTGAAGGAAGGAGGGATCAGTTGTCAGCCGCAAGAAAAGAGACAGGCATGTCTTCAGCTGAGGCCTCTGAAAAGATTCAATGACAGTGAGGAAAACCAGAACTCAGGACTTGTCTGGTTCTCCATCGCGGGCCCTAGAGGGAGCATGCTTTAGTTCCTACAGACCCTTCAACCTATGGTTTGACAGTGTCACGTTCCAGGACGCTTTTGTGGGCTAGTCTTGCTAACTCTTGGGAATTGAAGTATAAAACAAGCACTGAAATTCCTGGAAATAGCTTCTTGCTTTGTAATTAGAGATGAAGTTCACAGACCCTCATAGCTGCACAATAAAAGCTTGAAAACATATTTCAGATGCTGCTTGGATGTAACAAAAATGTCCCAAACCCCACAACTGCCTCATGACTTTCAAGCGCCAGTGCCAACAAAACAACTCTTTTTTCTTCTGGCACCACATCTAATTCATGTATGTACCCAGATCAGGATGCAAAGTTTCTTAAAAAACTATTTATCATGTATTAAACTTCATTAAAATAAAGAGACATTCCTAGCTTTCCATTATACAGATGTAAGACATGTTGGCCGATATCCACCCATCAGTTGTGCAAATAGGTGTTTTACCTGAAAGAGCTTCTTGCATTCAGCGATCATATGAGCGAGCCCTTGGGTTGCGGCCAGATTTTCATTTAGGTCTTTCTGATCGGGTTTTCCGAGGCTTGGTTTTCTTTGCATCACCCTTCACAGGGAAAAAGAGCACACACACACATATATCCAGTTATTTAATGCAGAGCAAGAGATGTTTGGTAAGAAAACAGTAGGATTCCCAAATCTACTGCTGATTTAGAGGGACCAAATCTTGGCATGGCATTACCGACTTCTCTTGCTACTCTCTCTAAGCTGCTTCTTTGGAACCGCCTCTGTTTCTTCCTTCTTATGAACTTGCTTGTATTTTAAAAAATCTCTAACAAAAGGTAGGATCCCATAACCCTTCTACGCCGGGTGCCCTCTGAGGTGTCCCCAGGGTGATCACAACTGGGAGGGTTAAAGCTAGACCGTGCCTGTTGCACATCACCGCTGGCTGTGGTACGGGACCAGCAGCAAGGACCCCTGCTCCCCAGAGACGTACCTTGGGGAAGAATTCTCTCTTTTGAGAGTGTTTAAGTGGAAGAGGGACGGTGCTAAGCAGACAGCCAGGTTTGTTGGTGTCATCTGGTTTTCCTTCACTGCAGCTGTGACATCACTCAGGAAATAGAGAAGAATCTGGAGGACCTCCCTGTTCTCATCAGGTAAAAGCATAATGGCAGCCTTGATAGCCTGGAGACGCTGGTCCTTTGGCACATCTGCATAATATTAGTAATTCTCTCATCAGCCCATTGATTTTCCACACACACAGCATGAATACATCCCAAAGCAAACTCCAGCTTCAAATATTTGACTCGAGTTCGAAGTGATTTCCTTCAGGATGCATACCATTCATAGGAAACATGAAGGAATTTTTTTTTTAACCCACTAGTTTAACTACCCTCAGCTATTTCCTGCCTCACAAGAAATGCAAGCAAGAAGAAGTTGTGCCTAGGCCAGAGTTAATTTTAGATTTAACTTCAACAGCTACATGCTCCCGCAGATGCACTAAAATGACAGAAGCCTGGAGTCAAGCAGTGAACAAGGAAACACAGTCCAGCCAATTTAGAAATTCTTTGGCTTTCAAAGAAATTCAAAACATGAATGCATTTTAGAATAGGTGAATTAATTAAATAAATTGGCTAGCAAACCTCTTCAACAATGATGTCATAAAATACCCAGAAAGTGCTTTACCAAACACAGAGGGTTGCTTTATTGAGCAGATCATTCAAAGTCATGCGGTGGAAAAAGAAAGTCAACGCTGTGAAGCCCCATACCATTAAACAGCTCCTTGGTTACTAACAACAAACAGCCATTGGAAAAATTTGACGTGTGTCTTTATATAAGGCCCTCTCCTCCAAACTTGAAGGGAACAAAAAAATGAAATAACCCAGACCAGATCTGCTTCTTATAAAGGGATTTCCAATAAGCCATCGCTGAAGACAACATCAGAGTCTGAGTCCTGGAGCATTTATATCCTCATTAGCACCACACCACCCTCACTGCATACCTCATAATACACGTGATGCTAACGAGATATTTAATTGGTATTTGCTTTGGGCTTCAGCAACTTCGTAAGGCTAGCAGGTGTGTTTAGAAAGCAATTTTAAGCAAAAATCCACTGTTTTCCACACTCTCCCCTCAATCAGCTCAAAGCACATTTAAGCCACGTGCGGACAACTCCAGTGCACAGCCTGGAGTTGCAAAGGGAAATTTTGTCTTTTGCAGGGAAGCAAAACTGACAGCTGCTTTAAGGCTCTTTGCTTTACATAGAGATAATACTTCCCGACCACCTCTGGGTATTCCTCAGACCTACCGCCTGTGAAAGGAAAAGGAACAGATACTTCTGCAATGCTCTGTCAAACTTTTTCTGGCACTAAACCCACAAAGAGTTGTTGTTCAATATGGACGGAAGTGGAGAGTCTGATTAATTTTCTCCATAAACCTTCTTGGGAATCCAAACACACACAAAAAATATGTGCACTGAAATAATGGTTTTATTTTAAACCGCCACCTCCACCTACAGAGCTCTGAAGGAAGTTCCTGTAACCTTTTTGTAACCATGATCATAAGGAAAGCACAAAATACAGCGAGGGCTCAAAGAAGGTATTACTGCAGTACGTTCTGTTGTAGCTGTGCTACCATGAGAAGAATACATGGGGAGACCGCTGGAGTGGTGTTAGGGAGAGAAACCACAGGACCAGCATGGTGCCCATTGTGCATCAATCAGTTTGGACCCCACGTAAATATTTCAAAAAGCTTTGGAGTTCTGGTCACCAAACGTTAATTCCCTTTTAGCCATTTTATAAAGTGAGAGTATTCCCAATGAAACAATGTTGAAGAAAACTTGAAAGGCAGTATGTTGTTTGGAAAGATCCAGCACAAAATCACCATCTATACAGAACTCAATTTATCTAGCTCACAAAAGAGAGTGTCTCCCTTGCTGGAGTTGAACGTGCCATCTCAGAAAGATTAATTATTTCTTTTCACCTGCATTGATAAACTCCATTTTTTATGTGATTTATTCTAAGCACTTTCTGTTTATGGTACCTATCAGTAAAGTAGCTACAAGTCAGTAACAGAAAAGCTTTCAACATAAATGTTGTTTTCAAAAGTTGTGGTGAAGGATAGAAGAATATGAATTATAATGAAATAGAAGTTTTTGGCAGCCTTGCTCTTGCAAAAAAAATTCAGTAATTTAGTGGATTTCAATCCCCTTGAAAGCTCCAAACTCTGTTTGTGTGGTGTTTGCACAGCTCCTCTACCTAGCCATCAGACGTGGCTAACTTTCAAACTGTAATATCAAATATGCTCAAAGAGAGGAAACTTTATAGCAAGTGATGGAAGATTTATATATGTTCCTAAACTACAGAAAAAGTTGAAATGAAAAGAACTTGTACTATAAATCATTATACAACTAGAACATCAAAAATCCATCCCTTATGAGGCAGCCTGGACTATAATGGCTGATGAAGAAAGGCAAAGACAACATATGCAACACGCGTAGTGCCGAGAGGAGCACTATCAGAAAGTTCAACCCTTGCTACACAAATGACCATTTGCCATCTACCATAGCAATCTCACCACTTACATTGGTATATCTGTAAGAAGGTCTCGGAGAGTTTGTTGGTCATGAGAGGCTCAGGGAGATCACGGAAAAATTGCTTTAACATGTCTGCTACATCGTAAGCAGACTGGCCTTCGTAGTTGACGCTGTCTGTTGAATTCTCATTCATTTGACGCAAAGCCTGAATTCTTGATTTGACTCCAGATTTCCTAAACAGTCCAACCTAAATATATATGGAAAGGTAAATACATTTACAATGAGTCCAGCAAACTTTGAAGTGTAAGTATGCTCTTTAGCTTCTTATGCAGGGGTTCTAATTTCATGGAAAGCTTTGCTTGCATTAATTATCTATTTTTTCCCATGTGGAGTCTACTTTTTTCAGCCTGATTCAAGCATAATAAAAATTAATGGAAGGCTGGGCTTTGGGTGCTGCGTGCACATGGGATGAGAGTACAGCAAAACCCACCTGATCCAGGCAGTGGTTGCGGAGGTACCGCATGGCTTGCTGAATGCTCTGTGGAAGAGGCTGCCCTGTGCGCTGGACGTTGACTTGCAGCGGTACTCCAAACACGTTTCGGTCTTTATAATCTGGCACCTTTATCCTTTTCATAAATTTTGGTACTGCCCTATTTAAGCAAAGGCAATGACAAAATTAAATTAAACTTCCATTGACCCTTTATCTTCTGTATTTCCAGTAATTCAGAAAGTCAGTGAAAATAAATGAAACACTTTAGTAATAGGAAAAGAAGTGACATTATAAATTAGCTAATCCACTCAGGGCTGGGAACGGGGAGAGGACAGAAAACAGAGTTTCTCTAAGAGAAAGGCTTGACATTCGGGGCAGTATGCTGCCTCTAAGTATTAATATGGTGCTACTCCATCAATATTAGTAGGACAAAAGCTACAGGGTAAAACTGCAGGGGCCAGATTGAATTACAAAAGAGTCAAAATAAATCCTGTGGTCAGTGACCCCTTATAACACTGCTTCTTTAGGTTTCGGGAAAGATGGGCATTTGAACAATGAGCTTTTGTATGTCAACTACTTGTTCTGCAAAGTCCTCAAACTGGGTCCACCACCCACCAGTGTGCATAACAGCAGGAAACTGATGTAATACATTCGAGTTTGTCAGCTAAAAACTTCAGCTCTATAAACAACCCCTTTGAGGGACCCCCCTCGTCGTCAGCCAGTGGCTGTTGTTACCCCCACCTCCCACTCCAGTTTCAATGAGAGGCCTTTCCATCTGCTTATGACTCCAAGGAAAAAGTTACTTAATACAAAAGAATGATTTACCCCCAGGTCCCCAAGAGTATTTGTTTCATAAAGGGGAAAAAAAAAAGCCATTAAAATGTGAAAATATTGAGATCATTTTCCTAAACAGGGAGAAAAGCTAATGTCCAGTGCAACAACTAATAGGACACAGTAGCACTGGAAAACAGGGAGACCTATTTACCATTTCAATATACAGTACAGCTATACAAACACTGCATTACATTTACAGCTGACTAATCCGTTACACAGTAAAACAGAACTAATTTGTATTGCTGTATAGTTAAGTTTAGGACGTTATTGATATATGCATGAATAATACTTGCTTTGTCAAAAAACATGCCAATGGAATGTGAAAAAACACATTGCGATCACCACCGAGAATCTGAAGCATGCAGGGATAACTGGTCAATACTTATTTCTGTCTTTCAGAACAAACAACTGCTGTATTTAGAAAGGCTGACATAATAACAGCCTTTGAACAGGAGGTACTTTGATGCTGAAGCTAAATACTCTCTATGACTCCTGGGGAAGGGAGGAGGCTGGCCTGTGGTAGGGAGAAGAAAAATTTTATTGCGTCTTTTGCATCCTGAAGGGTACACAGGCTGTACTGCAGATACAATAATAAAAGAGCTTTCTATCTCATTCTTCTGACAAAAAGCATTCAACTGGGTTACAAACACCTGGCCACAACAGAAATTGCTGCCTACAAAAAACTACATGGTTCTCCCAACTCCCCCCACCCATCTTTTTTGTAAGCTAACTGGATTTATAGTGCTTTAAAGAGGGGACATAGATTTTGGCTAATGACACACTCAAACCAAAGGAAATTTACATTATTTAATTATGTAATTGTATAAACTAATGCAAATATTTAGCAATAACTAAGGAAAAACAAGCCTATTAAGATCTACTGAGGTTTGTGCCACCGCTCACTAACTGCCTCAATAAACAATTCGTCCTTCTTTTGCTATGGATAGCGGACATCCTCCTGCTCAGAAAGCTGGCCTGTACTTCATTGCTTTTGTTCCCTCACGTGCCCCCTATAAACATACTCCTCAAGCCTAATAAGATTACACTTACATAAAGGGTTAGTGATTTTAGCCCCGTCTTAGGAAACCACAAATCACTGTCAGCACAGGCTGGAGGAAGAAGTGTAAATATGGAAAAAGAGGGATGGAGGGATTCATTGCATGCTTCCAAAAGTTGCTGAGGATGAGCGTAACTGTTGTGTTCGTGTAGTCGGCCTGTCTACGCATGGCACTGTGCCCTTACCAGCTGAAACCGTGCTTATTGGAAGGCGTGTATTTCTCCAGGAGAGCAGTGAGCTTCAGGAGAGAGTACTTCTGCAGCAGGTTCATCTGCGCCACGGACTGGCAGTTGATCTGCAGCGATGCCGAGCTGAGGCTGGGCCGGTGGGAGCTCTGGAAGCTGTGCCACCTCAGCCTGTGCCTGCGGAGAAGATGGGGGACAGAGCAAGGACCAGTCAACGAACGCTCTCTGTGAGACACGTGCAGGAATTGCTGCAAACATACCGCTGAGCTCCCTGCCCTTGGCAGCCGCTGTCTTCCGAGATCTCACAGGCATCAGCTGGCAGTGTGTCTGCCTCACCCGGCGCGATGCAGCACATGCAGGTGCATCAGGTGGGACTGCGCACTCTGAGCTGGCCCACAGCTCAGTGTTAACTACATGATCTTGCCCTATCAGATATCCTCCTAGGGCTCCAACACCCTTTTTCAGAAGCCCTCTCAGTATTAAGGCAGTGGGAATCAAAAAACCCCATTAAAGAAAAAAAAAAAATCGGCCCAAATTTTAAAGACATATCAAATGTGAACTAAGCACTTCTAAAAGCCCCATTAAGTTTATACAAGCAGCTGTAGGTGACTAAATGACAGCAGAAACCAGGCCTTAGATGATTTGCACCAGTTTTAAAGGAAAACTGGAAACAAAGCTAGAAAGAATTGAACTCCTTGCTGTAGTCGCAATACAAAATACTGTCATCCACGGCATGGTAAAACTCCCAACAGAAACTGGGAGGCCGCTGGAACTCCCCCGGTCCCCTGCTGTGCCACAGTGATCAAGAGAAAGTAAACAAACCTCATTTTCCCCACAGATTTAGTGCCCTAGCGTGCTATTAAGAAACAGCCTGCTACTGAAAAGTGCAATTTTTTGAAACAGTCTCAAAGTCAAGGCTTTTACTACACACTGACACAAACCAGACCATACTTACACTGGTTCTCCTAGCCAATTTAAAAAGTGAATAATCCTTCTTGAGGTCCCTCTCCCTCCCACACACCATATCAGTTTGAAGAATTATCATTCCCCAAAACTGCCTTAACATTGCTCCTAACGCCGACCTGCTGAGCGGGCTGTTTTTCAATGATGACTCAGGCTGAACATACAAAAACACAGCTATGAAGTGTGAGAATCACTCATCTAAAAGTCTTGCACAAATACTTCCCTTGCCTATAACTGTTTTGGGAAGCGATGGGAACAGCCCATGTGTGCTTCAATGGCCACAACTTCTACTGCACCTTAACCAAGTGTGGTGCAGCTACTATAGAGCCACTTGGGCTGGAGAGGACCTCACCGGGGCCACCCCACGTCCCAGCACTCATGATCTCACCTGCTGGACCGTGTCAACGATGCGCCCACCCCAGAGTCCCTCCTGTCCTGCATCCCTGTGGGCTCTTCCGTTTCATTCAGCGAATTTCCTGTACTGTCAAGGTCACTTGGTGTTGTTCGATCGTTATCTACATCGAGGTGGATCTGCTTTGGAGAGGAAGGACACGGGGAGATGGAGTCGAGCGCTGAGTCGGAGTCCCCTTCGTCTGAGAACTTCTCTGACCACTGGTTTACTATTCTCTGCATCCCTTTGACGTGGTACAGGATGTCATCTAGTTCTGGGAATATGTCTTCATTTTCGAGGTCAGCCAGGTCGCTCGTACTGGAATACAGGATCGAGCCTGGCACGTTGTCGTAAATACTCAGGCGGCTGCTCACTGAGCTGGAAGAGTTGCGCCTTTTCCCCATGCCCAGCTCTTTGGAGCTGTCACCGCTGTTTTCCCTCCGGAGGGTGAGATGGCCATGTCCGTGGAAACTCCCTGTCCTCCAGTTCACAGAGGCATTGCTTTCTGTCGGGGAGAAGTTGCCGTTGGAGAGTGCTTTGGGAAAAGTGCCAGGCTTATGATCTTCGGGGATAAAAAACACTGTGTCTTCTGCAAAGCTTCCCCGGTTCTTGAAGTTCTGCTCCATCACGTCACTGAATGTTGACTGGTTGAAGGGGTCGAAGCCTTCCAGGTACATGCCCACCCTTTTATTGTACGCACTGAGGCTGCGTGTTCGCGTGACGGGACTGGGTGTGCTGACGGCACTGCTCGTCTCAGACTGACTACTGCTGCTGCTGGTCTGGGTAGAATTGGAGACGCTCCTCTTTCGTACCATGGGGAGGCTGATGTGATTGCCATTGAGGGCAGAAATCTCCACACAGTTAAGCTGTTTCAGTTTATCTTCATCCATGCCTTCCTGCAGGATGGGCCCGCTAATAATAAGGCCAAGCTTTGAAGGAGCTTTGCTCTTGCCATGGTGAGAGCTCTTGATTTTCAGGCTCTCCATTCTCTTGAGCAGGCTCTTTGTTTTGGACTTGGCGTTCTTCTCATTGGCTTTCGTGTTGAAGCTGAAGCTATTCAGGTCCCTGGGCGAGGGCAGGCTGCTGAATGAGTCATCGTTTGCTATGAAATTGCTCGATGAACAAACACTCACAACCGAGTTTGTCCTGGTGGTAGATGCCTCGCTCTGCAGGGTTGGTTGGTGGCTGCTGGTGCTGCTGATGCTCAGAATAGAAGCCACCTCCTGCCGCTCGCTGAGGTCTGTTAGCACGCTCTCACGGCTTGCCGCGTTAGTAAGGTGAGGAGCTTCCGGGGAGGGGGTATTCAAGTCCGGTTTTGGAGGGAACACATCAAACTCTTCAAGCCTCGACCACCTCTTGCTGTCCCTCTGAAAAGTCCATTTGCCACTTATTGCACAAGGTTCATCTTCATCCGAATCTTCGCTCTGCAAAGAAGAAGAATCCTGAAAAGTACTGCTTGCAAATTGCCCAAATAGCCACAGTGGTTGCATTTAAATACAATGCCCACTAAACTGCTTTAAGCATTACTTTGTTCTCACTGAATTTAAAGTGAAAACAGTCCTTTACTTCAGGGAGAGAAAGATTAGGCCATAAAGCCCATCACAGGAAAAGATAACATGGGACAGGCAATATATTTTAGCAGTTTTTAAATACAAAAGATACACACTTCGTAAAAAGAAAAAAACAATACAATCTGCTTTAAATTGCACTTTTCTAAAAACCCTACTATCCATAGACTTTTAATTAATTGGTCACAGTGGATAGCCCTCAGATCAATGGAAATTCCTGGCATGCATAAAATTTTAAACTGGAGTCAGTCAGGGGTTGGGGTCCCTCTGGACTCTCTCCAAAGTTCCACTCTGTTGATAGTGGCTGTGTGTTTATACTCCTCTTTGCAATTACGAGATGTTTCCCATACATTCTGAATTGTAGCGGCTTAATTCCTTACGCATTTGGGAAGTCTGAACGGTCTCCTTGCTGTGACTAATGAGATCGCAGAAGAAGCTCTTGCACTGCAACTGTGTGATGCCTCCAGGCTCTTACCTGGTCCACTCTTTCTCCCACAGGCTAGCAGCTAACATTTTAAGAATGTCCTGTGAAGTTTCTACTTCAGTCTTGCTTCAGGCAAACTTTAACACTCACAGATAGCAAGCAGCAAGAGTTCGCTGACAGTATAGCACGTAAGTAAATTGTAAATAACATCTCCACTGATGATGTTTGATGTATGAGTAATGCCTGAGGGCACAATTACACGTACATCACTTACGCCTACAATCTTTTCATCTAAATACTGAAAGGGAATGATCTTGGGACTGATATATTTGGTCTCCCAAATATCTGGAAAATTTCATGTTGGAAGAATAAAACCAATGAAGATATTTTAATACGACACCATGAAACCACAAAATAACCTTTGGTGTTCAGAGTAGGAAACACTAATTGCCACCCAGTTCCATGAGTTTCACTTCATTTGTTTAGACTGCTTTAATTTAAAAACAAACACACATGCATGCCCCAAACTGTAACTATTTGTGTGCCAAGAAAACAAGCATTTATGCTCTGAAAAACAAGTAAATTATTCATATTTGAAGTATTTTATTTATGCACACGTTAGCTCCTGATCCTCTCCTAGTTTTTTGGGGTTTTTTTTTTGTTTGCCTTTTTTTTTTTTTTTTTTAAATAGCATATTTAATCAGCTCAGGAAAATAAGTGAAACACCATAGTTAATATTTATAACCAAATACACATGAGACACAGAGCAAGCGTAATTCTCTTTGTTTCCCAAGTATTACAAACTACTTCTGTCCATGACTCAGATGAAAACCTAAGAAGACTGGCTTGCTTATTTGAAGTTTTCAGGAGGAAAAAGAGTCACCTGAAACTACCAATGGATAACAATGATGGTTTGGTGGTGAATGCGGTTTGAGTGGAAAAAAGGAGCAGTAAAGTGATTTTAATTTGCAAAGAGGTCAACATAAGGCACACATAAGGAAACATATGTTTCTGTCAGCACAATTTTTCCTTAGTGTTAAAAAGCTTTAAAGGCTAAGTAGTGATTTTAATGAAGTCAACAACAAAAGGGAATAGGATCCAAGTCCATCTGCCAGAACATGGGTGGTGAATGAAAATCAGGAAGGACTGAAACAAAAGGTAACGTCCAGACTCCGGAAGATCTGGGGTCTGGACCTGAAGTCGGGTCTGGCCTGACCTCTAACAGCAATACTGATCATTCCAGTGTTAGCAACGTTCAGGAACAAGAAGGAGAAATCTTCTGGCGGTCATAAACAGCAATTCAGCTGTCTATCCCTACTTTTACAGGGTTCCTACATAGGCTGCTGCCTCAGAGTGTTATCTTCTGCAGCCTGGATGCTGTTTCCAACATACCACAAACAGATAGGGCAAGAGGGGATTAATTCCTGGTAAACAACCTCAGAACATTTGTATGCATTCTTGTTAAGGGTAGGGCAGCATTGTATTGTCTTAGCTCAGTCATCTTTATCTGCAGTTGTCATATCCCAGGGGACAGTATCAACTACTGATCCCTCCTAGGACACACACAGAGTTTTAAGACAGCTCTTGAGTGGTACCTCACCAGCAAACCCCAGCAACTCAGCTTTCTGTCGGTACTACCTTACTGAAATTGTAGTAGGTGCTCTCTTATTTCTCACCACGCTCCACAGGGATCCTGAAGATTCAGGAAACACTTTTAAGTCCTGCTGAGCTCCCTGGAAACATGTAAACTTTCTAAAAAGGTAGCTGACCTATTCTGTAATTATATTGCTTTCATTAGAACCTATGTAATTAAAAAACAAGGAAAAAATGTACCCAATCCTACAAAGGATTGGCTCTTTCCTTTGCAGGCCAAGCACAGTCTAACTGATCCTGTCTACATCATAATAAAATAATACAATTCTAACGTGATGGCAAAGAACCAAAACTGTGAAGATGACGCCAAAGACGATTTTCTAACATTCAGGTCAGCTCCTCGTGGCTGGTCGGGATCTCCTCCATCAAGCCTACTCTTTACGATCCTGCCCGAGTGCAGTTAATAGGCTACAACGCAGACAATCTCACTGGCAGGCAGAGAAGCCCAGTGCCTTTCAGACTGGGAGCAGCATCCTGGGCAAGAGTTTGCTAGACAAATAACCTTTACCCGTGGCCAGGCCCTGCAGTTTTCACTCAGTGAGAACACTAAACAAAACATAAGCAGAGTTTTGACTGTGTCCTTGCCAGGTTCTACTCAGGTGTTATTCCAGACTGCAGCTAAGCAATCTGCTAGATGGTTGGGGTTTTTTTTTTCAGTTTTATTAATGTACAATGCTGTAACAGAAGATGTTAAAGAAACTTACCCTTTTCCTGTGGGGACTAATTTCTAGCTTCATCACTGCACATTTGTTTAAAGTATTTAAGCGCCTGCAAAGCAAAGGAAACCATATTAAGAGAACACTTCAGTATTTTGACACAGGCTATTCCAGTTCAAAAGCTTTTGTGAAGCCTGTTCCCAAACTGCTTTGCATACAAATAGCCACAAGCAGAGTTTCAATTAGAGCCCTAATTATACTTAACCATTAACCCATTACATTTGGCTGTATTCTAACTTCAGAGGGAGGGATGGATGGCTATTTGTCACAATTACCTGAATCAAAGTAAAGAGAAGTGAACGAAAACTTACACTAGGTTGAGAAATGCATTATACCCCATGAATTGTAATAGTTACATTTATTTAAATAGCAGACATCCAAACCCTGAAACAATCCATGTCAACAGACTGAAAATAACGGAAAAGGCTTCTTATTTGACACTCAGTACATGTGCCTGGGTGAAAAAGCGTGCTGCTTTAAGATTTTACTTTATAAGCTAAAACCTCCCAGAGGAAAACCTATTTTCCACTTACTAGGTGTCTGTTTGTTTGTGAACAATGATTATTTTCAATATAGTCCTAGGACAAGACAATTCACCAGTTTAAAAACAAAACAAAACACAGACCTGATTTTTCCTTCCTAAACTGAAAGTTCCTTTTATACATAAAAATGTTGTTCTGAAAGACTAAAATGTAAACAAAAAAAAATTGCTGCAGCAACAATAGTTAACCAGCCTCCTTGTGAAAAGAGACAGCAACCTGGATGTGTATCTTGAAGTACTGTATGAATGTATATAAGCATCCCTCTGTTCCCTGATGAGCTAATGATCTGGTAGGTATCCCTAAAACAACAAAAAATAAATCTTTCTTCTCCTCTGTGCCCCAGAAGCTCAGTGTGCAGGGCTGAGCACAAACAGCTCAAAGCACAGCAAAACTCAGCACTGTTAAACACAGCTCCATGGCAGTTTAGGCACAGCCAAGCGCAGGCTGCTGTGGTCTCCTGCCCTTCTCCCAGCCCTTGCCTCCCCAGAAACTGCTCCAGGGACATGGCTCAGCTAAAATTCACATTGGTAACGCATGGTTAGAGAAATGCCAGCGCTATGGCAAGGCAAAGGCCAGGAACAGGCTGGGCACGATGCACAAGGCAGAAAAGCTGAAGCAGCAGCTTTATGGAAGCGATGGTTTGGTCCCTGGGTTGATACTTCCACTCATGATGCTGTACTGTGGGTTGGATGAGGAGACTAACTGAGCTGAAAACTAATCTTGCAAGACTTTGTTGGGTTCAATTTCTCCCAGGTCGGTTCCCCGAGCTGCATGAAGGGTAGTGTGTGCTGGGGGAGGCGGAGAAGCAGAGCCACCCCTTTTCTTCAGCCAGATCACAGCCCAAATTCAACAGGAGCAAAACCAAGCTTTAAAAAGCCTAATTGATTCTGAAGGAAGTTATGTAATTTTCACATAATTCATGTGAGCAAATTGTAAAGAAGAGCCTGCATCAGCAGCTTTGAAAAACAACAACAACAACAAAAAAAGAAATGCTGACTTGTCCTGTTGCTTCAGATGAGTCTTTTCAGATTCATGAAACTTGTAACTTGAATCTAGAAAATGTGTGCACAGGAAGAATTACTAGTTTCCTCTCTTTCCCCTCGCCTTTTATGCACAGGATTGGTTGCAGATGGTATTTACACAGGGCTTGATCCTGAGGCCATCAAAGAAAATGGAAAAGCTCCTACTGGTGCTTTTGCTGCAGTCATGAAGTAAAAAAAAAAAAGCAGTTTGATCTATAATTAGACCCAGCCACAACAGAGCAGAAAAGAAGAGAAACAGGAAGAATTGCCATGGGTCAAATAGTAGGGCAGTGGCAGGTTAGGAAAGTTATCCAGATCTCTCCATTTTCATCTTTGCTCTGACTTTAAAAGCCAGAAGACTCAGTCCTGCCAACTGCAGCTGGTGGGTACATGCACAAGTCCAGTCAATTTCAGAGGAATTGTATTTACGGCGTGGGTGAAGGGTGAATGTCCCATCTACACGCTACACAACAAAACTGGTATTTTGGTTTTTAAGAGGCCACACAGCAGCAGAAAGCCACCTCCCTCTCTTTGCAATAAAAACATTCTCCTCTCAAACTCCTGGTCCACAAGACCATGGAATATTAAACTGATTACAGTTCTATATTGTGTAATAATTTACAAATTTCACAGTGTTACAACCTTTGACTTATGCAGAGGGAAGTTATCACTGAATCCCTGTATCAGCCTTTATCTAGCTCCAGCCTGTCTGACCGCTAATAAAGACGATCTCTGATTTCACAAAGATTACATCCCCAGACTTTTCTTGTACTCAAATTAAAAGCCTGAAATAGGTGAAAAAGGGTAGAGCAAAGACCTCTGTTTCCACAGAGGTTGTTTAAGAAAAAAAAAAAAAATCTCCCAGTGCACACCTCACAAAAATGAGTATGAAGGGCAAGATAAGGTAACCCCCAACGAGCGAGGTTAAATACAATAGCAGTGAAGCAAATAAAGGCTCTGTTACACATTTGACATGATTTCATCACAAAACCAGTTTCCCTTTTAAAACCTAAATTCTCTGCAGCGATTGCCTCAGGTCTGCAACTTCCATTATATACATCACACATCCTGCTTTAGCTTCTGCTCAAGTTCCGCAGTGCCCAGTTCCTTGAGCTATAGGACACTGAAAACACAGTACAATATGCAAAACTGCCTTCCAAACACATTATTGAGTCTGCAAAGCTAAGCTTACAAAATTTAGGCTTTGCCAGGATGAGAGTTACCTATACAACTGTCATTAACCTTCACATATGCTTTGCAATACTTTTTAAGCATATAAGCAAACATTCATTTTCTACAAATCTTCTCATCAAATCGATGCTTGTTAATGAACCGCAATTTTCTCTTCTGGCTCTGGACCTTCTCCTTTGGTAATTCCATTCCCAGGGATAAATTCAACTTATCATTTCCCTAGTGACAGTCAGCAGGTCTGCCTCATTCTTCAGCTCCGTCTCATTCTGCCCAAACGTGTCTCAGCGACACCTTCGCGAGGGCAAGATGGGAGATGGAGGACGGGGCAGGATTGCTGCAGACAGCAGTTACAGGCGCTTTTGCCGTCTGGCTGTCTCAATTTCTACAATGCCTCCTACCCCAACCATTTTTGGGATGACTGTCTGGATGACAAGATAATATTCTTTCCCATCATTTAGATAAATGTCTTTGAGTCAGCCCTCTCTCTATACATTTTCACATCCAGATGGTATCTCACTCCTGTGGAGCATTGTATCTCCAAGACATCACTCTTCCTCGCCCTCCATGTACTCCTACCCAGGCTCTCATGCTCCTTCACCCTGGCTCTGCAAAACCCTTCTTCATGAGGGTGACCAAAGCACCAGGACCTGCCTCTCAGTCCCAGACCTTCTATCAGCCCTGAGGGGCAATTACACTGGAAGCCGGAATCTGTTGCACCCAAAACACGAGGCGCTGGAGCTTCTCTCAGAAATGAGCAAATGATGCATTTTTCCTAGTCTTCTCCTCAGAAATGGCCCAACTAGTTTAGCCCGAACTTCTTTTAAGAATGGCAGCCTGAACAAGACATTCACTATCAAAAATTGCAGTGTGACAGCTACCTTTAGCTGATTTAGAAATTAAAATACGGGCTTATGATGTGAAGTCTTTATTAATCTAGATACCAGTCAGGTCTACGCTGGATATAACTCCAGGTAATTCATTCTGCTCTCATTAACAGGAGAAAATTCTCACCCCATGCACCCAAGAAAATTGGTAGCAACGCATAATATTAGATTTACGCATTTTAAATTACTATTTTCAATCTGAGTAACTGTATAATCTAGCTTCAAAGTATTTTCTTAATGGATTTAAATTCTTAATTCCTCCTTATAGGGCAAATTCCAACTCCATTATACCTGTAACTAATTGATGATACACGGGCTTTCTTGTCTTACTGCAGTGGACAGCCTCTACGCTGGCTCCTGGGGTTCATCTGCACGTTCTAACCTGCAAAGGAGGCCAGCTCTTTACAAACCAAATGATACGAGCAGTGAATGCTGCTCATGCAAATCCATTATAATCAATTTCTTGGATGAGAAGCCCTGATGGTAAAAGATTTAAGAAACCTCTTGCGTATATAGTGTGGCAGTTTTCTAGCTATGCGTAAGGAGATTAAACAGGATTTCCATCATGGCTTGCAATGTATTTTGTACTTAGCAACAACCTTTAGGATAAGCATGTTTCAGTACTTAGTTTCATCAGCACGAAGCAGCCAGTTATCCTCTGGAGATAAATTCAGAGTCATTAATCTACATAAAGTCTTATAAAACCAAGGCCAGCAGTGCTTTGCAGTCACTTTATGAAGCATCCTAGCAAATTAAGAGTCATTGCTCATATTTTTAACCCTACATTTCATGATAAGAACACTAAATGACATTTCTTAACCATCTATCTTCTACGGTTACCAAGTGCCATATGCTATCTCTGTAATTCAAGTCTCAAACCACTTTTCACTTAAAATTTTTCCTGAAAAACCTTAATGGGGTGGCTATTGATACCTTTTCCATTTAGAAAGGAATTTGGCAAAACATTTACTAATAAGCTGGTTTTAAAGTTAGATTAGTATTCCTGTTTACATTAATAAGATTATTAAACGATAATTTACAGTACTATTCAGACATAAACTATCACTTAAAATGCTTCAAACTTAAGAAAAATCCCCATCACTGTGATTTCTACCGTCTTCCTTAAAACAATTTCTTCACATGCAGTAATTAGAACAAGGTAATTAGAACTGCTGGCAGAACACTGGTTGTTATACAGAAAAGTAGATTCTCAGCACAGACGACTTACTATTTTGTTACCATCCACTGGTAACATACCAGTGTTCATTTAGCTCTGTGCTGAAAATGCAAATAGCTCCAAAACCATTCTGATTTTCAGTCAAGAAACAGCGATAGACTTACGGTTGTGAAACAGCTCTAAGTCTTTTACTAAGTAAACCCCTTTACTGTTTACACACTGACCACGGCATTAGTCAAAATAAACCCAGGCTTCAGGCAGAAATGCAGCATTCCAAACAATGTGCCTTCTCCGTGTTTTTTAATGACCTTTACAAAATTAAACAAGGAGATGTAAGAAAAAATCTAAAGGTGGAAGTGTTGTGATAATGTACTGCTTTTGTCTAACACAAATGGTAAAGGGGCAAATTCAGACATCTGAGATGATTAACTGAATTACTTCAGTTTTATTTTGAGGTGGGACCTGAACGCTTCTGGAGAAACTTTAGCTTCAGTTTTAAAGTTGCCTTGTAAAAGGTAACTCTGATATATAAGCCACAGGCTTCAGAATGATATAGCTCAGCCTTTAAAATCTTTGTCTCAAGCTACAGTAAGACCTGTGGATTCTTATGCATATTACACAGAAAACAATTTGAAGATGAAAGTGGTTATTTTATAATTAGCAGACTTTAATTAAAAGATTTCCTAGTTTCACAAAATATCTATATACCCATATCATTTTGGTTTGCTCACCTTTACTAGAAGGCTTACAATATAAGCTTCCATTCTTAGGATACAGATCTTTTTACTGTCTTCTATGTTCAGAAAAAAGTGCTAACTGTTTTTATCGATCACACTAGCAGCAAATCTCAAAGAGATATGGAGGGCATATTCTTACTTTCACCAGTAAGAAACAATCTGCTGCTCTTTTTTCCCCCTAGAAATAAATAATCCCACGTTAAAAAGTATTCTTGCAGCAGGCAAGCACTAGGTCCAAAATATGCTGGCTTGACTGTATTTTGTTTTCCTGGCATGGAGGAGGCCATGCTTCTGGGAACCACCGTTTATTCACATTGCTGTACTTTCTGTTGAATGACTTCACAAGTTCCAGACCACACAAATAAGCAGACCAATGCATCACATTTTAATATTGATGGAATAGGTGCCCTACACTTGAGTAGGGCACAACTTGAGTGTGACACTAACATTAATGAGATTTTTCCCCTCCTAATGACTGGACAACAAATCTGTTTTCTTAGTTTGAAAATCCTGTAAATATTTCTGAAGAACTTTAAATTCCAGTCCCTCTCTTTCACTTCCAAGTATGGCAGTGATGGCATGAGAACACTATAAACTTAAAGCCTTTCTTAAAAGGGTTTTGTAATTCATTAGAATTACTGACATTTGGAGTTGCAGACATCATGCATGCAGTATCCAAAAGCATTCATTTTGCAGACAATTTGGAAAGCTGCCATACTGAAGGACAGAGGCAGAAAAACTGCACTTATTTCTAGGTAATAGGAGATAGGAAAAGTTAAGGCATTTTTTTTTGCCTTTTAAGATTGTGGACTCACACTAGAGGAGGTAACTGATGGATGGGTAAGTGTCAGATGGGGCCACTGCAATTGCTCTTATGATGAAATTGGTAATGCTGAGGCTGTAGGTCTGTAAAAACATGCTGCCTCACACCAGCAAGTCTTGCTCCCTCTTTTTCTCTATCCATCCCTTCTCCTGTCCTTGCAGCTGGCTGTGGGGTCCTGCCCCATCCTTTGCACCTAACTCTGAACTTCATTAATACCTTTCCACCAGCTGATTTACTAACCCAGCAAAGGACTTTTTGCAGGGTGAGTTGAACTGGTTTATGGAAGGAGCCCATAAACAACAAAGGTAAGTAATGGGAGCACATAGCTGAGGGCAGGCCAATCGTTGCAGTGGTGATAAACTCTAGATTCGCTCCCACTATCCCTTTGAGCCATACCCACATTCACTTCGGTCATCACGGTGCACAGCGAGTGATGCACTGAGGTCAGAATGAGGGTTTGTATACACAGCTTTTTGTTCTGTTTGTATACATAGCTGCTCACCAACTTAAGAAAGGTGAGTAATGGAGTGCAGCAGCATCACTTTGCTAGTACTGCTCCCAAAAAACCCAATTCCTGTGGGGGAACTGATGCTACAGTTGTACATTCAGATGGTCTGTAGCAAGCACAGTTCTGCTTTCACATGCTTAACTAATTTGGGAATTAGTAATGAAAGCAAATTAAGAAGAATAATAAAAAATATGCCCATGAAATATCTGTCACAAAGACGCCTGCCACTTTCTTCCCAACTTTTTTTTTTTAAATAAGATCCCCAAACATTACTTAGCCCAATATATAATTCTAATGAAAACTGTATACTGATAGTGGATAATAAAAAGGTCTCAAGCAAATGGTTATTTAATAGTACATAATTCAGTTGAGGTTATGCTTTTCCCAGGTTATACTTCATATTGCACAGGAAAGGTTTTGTTCAAAATGCAGTGTGGTTTTTTTTCACCTACCTGCATAAGGCCTCAATAGCATCTCTGTCCAGAAAGTCATGCTCTCGCTTGACTAGAGCGATGTCAATTGGAAAAAGGAGATCTGTAGAAATAGAGACAGATGGAATCAAAATGACTCTTATTCCCAGTGGTGAGTTACTTCAGAACAACCAGCTGTCTCCAGTTGAGCCCACCGAGATGCTGGTGATTGGCACTTCTCAGGGAAACACACGTTACCACCTCAAATGCCAGAGATGCTTCCTTTTCATGTACAAGTTTTGATGTGCAGCTTTGATAACTGAAAGTTCATATGTAAAACAGAGGACAAATGAGTAAAGAAGAGATGAAACAACGGGAGGGAAA